GAAATCGAGGGCGGTTCCTGTGAAAATCTCTCACAGAGCTCGACGACGCCGACGCCGACGTCGACGCCGCACGAACCACAAGCCAACGCTCCTTGCACTTGAAGCACCCGTCAGCAGGCCTTCAACACCTCGGAGCAAAAAAACGGCCATCTCGGCCAATCCAAATGGACATCACAACACACATGACATCACAAGACCAACCGAATCACTGTTTTGACTTCTTTTTTGGTGTTTTCCAATGTTCTTATGTGTTATTTTCTTCTTCTCTGGCCCCTTCTTATCTATCTGTGTCTTTGCTACTTCCTTCTTGTGTGTCTCATGGAAACGCACCAGTCTTTCAATCTCACTGTGCTCAGTACTGCCATTCCGTTCAATATCAGTGTGGACGATGTCCATCAAGACCTCCGTACAAGGCACGCTTCACCTTCTTTCTTTACGCGGACATCGGATGGTCATAGGGGATGAGCTGACTAACAGCATGTGTTGACTCAAGAGAAGACTGCTGTTCGTAGGCTGGGGGGGAGCGGGCAGCCTTGGAAGCCAAAGACCTACCAGGCTGAAAGTCTACACTGACGGTCTCCTTGTTCCTAGTAGTATGGCCAGGAGCCCCTAGTAGCTTCTTGTTCCTAGTAGTAAGGCCCTTTTCATACACGCTCCGTTTTCGTCTGGAATTTGGACATGTTTCTGACTAGAGCGGTGACGTGAGAAAAGCGTTTTTTGGCCGCTTCGATGGCAAATGAGTCGACCCAAAACGTCCGGGATGTTCTTCATGAAGCTCCACACATCAAAACATGGTGCGCCAAGCCGCTTCGATGGCAGAACTAAGTCGAGAATCCGTCGGCGAGGCTGCCGGCAGCGCAACCTGGTGCACCAAGAACGTTGAATTCAACATGACAATGGCATTGACTGCAGCTAGTTGAGGATCAGTAGTTGGGTCAGTCGAAGGTGAGCGCCGCAAGTACAAAGAACATCAATACAAAAAAGGTAGGTCCTACCCCCTTTATCCCATTGTTGTTTCATGAGTGCCCCTTCTCCCATACCAAACCTCAATGAGTGAATCAACAAAACAAGACTAACGTACCAAATAAATCCAAATAACAAGAGCTGCCATGTAGATTCATGTAGTCATTTTTGTTCGGATGTGTACCTTAGACTGCTTCTGGTGATGCTTCCACCATTGCATTTACCGAGACATTTGTGGACTCCTCCAAACGGGAAAAAACAGGCACACCCAGCCGATTTGGGTGTGGCGAAGAAACTTCCGGAGGGTGCGGATGGATCACGATTTGCGCCAAAAACACGGATGGGCAACAAGTTCCTTGAAGTTCCCCCCTTCTTTCTGGCCTCTCTGGACTGCACTCTTGGGATTTCGACCTCCATGGCATCTTCAGGGGGCGAGCTAGGGCTTTCCGTCTGACGTGTGCTGGCTGAGCACCCGTATCCGGTGTCTCGCTTCTGCCGTCTCACTTCACTCGTGTGGCTTGTGGGGCCATGTTGAATTCAAGGGAGTTGGGGCTACGCTTGTCACTGGTTCCTCAACTTTCGTTGTGTCATCTGCCATGTGCAACGTTCGCTTCCTGGAGAAGGCTGCAGGCCACATCAATTCCCCTCGGATGCTAAGGTGTTTCTTGTCAAGATTCACGACCAAGGACACACATGATTGAACGCAACAACCTGGATACCACATGCCAGAAAATGCCAGAAAGAACTCCCAGGAAGAAGCAACAGTCAAACGTCAAACCACTCACTCTTCCATTCACTGCAAAAGAGTTGTTGAAAGGACCAAGCACAGCGGTTTTGGAGAACAATGATGTGTTGATGCTGCCATGCTGATGAAGAATTTAAGAGGTTGGAGGCCATCGCTAGGTTTGCACTGTGTTTTCCTTGAGGCTGCAGCCTAAGGCGTTCAGCTTCGAGTGGACCTGTGATGCTCTCGGTCGCCAGTTGCCGAAAGATGCAACTGAGGATGTCACATCGCTGGAGTCCTGCAAATGAGTGAAATGTCGGTCCCCAAAACGTGCACACCCAAAAATCGCACAAAACGGAGCAAGTTCATTCGGACTCCAGGTCAAACCGCGCGCGGACAGAACACCGGTCAAACCAGGCAAAGCGAACCGGTCAAACCCACTCAGCTGACGACCTGGCACCGCCCACAGCTCCTGATAGCCCACTGTAGCGTCGACTCGGTACTGCATGTGGCGGCGCTCTGAGGTGACTCTTTGGTCTGAAAATGCTCTAAAAAACTGCGGAAGAAGTAGCAATTTCATACGCTGTCGAATCGACAGCCGAAACTTGGCACGAAAATAGCACAGAGCACGCACCAAAAACACACACACACATTGCTTGCTTTCTGGCGTGCTTGACTCTCTAGTTTTTAGTGTTCCCTAAGACGGCACAGCAAGCAGAAACAACAACTCGAAACCTGCAAAGCAAAGACACAACAAACAATTTAACCCTACAACTACCAAGAAAACCAAAGGAAACATACGGAAAAAGTGCTCGAAGAAAACCACAAAAATCCGACAGTTGAGATTGACTAGTTGTGCATTTCTTGCACATCTTGTGTTCAAAACACGAAGTAAAGGCAGCATTCAAACGCCTATACACAAACATGATGTGTTTCTTTTTTTCAGCTGGTTGTTTTCACGTGATCTTGTTCGCAGTATTGTTCGCAGGTGTGATCATGATCTTGTCTTGGCTGTCATGGCGCTGTGTTTCCTGGTCTTCAATTTCGTTCTGGCTTCATTATGCGGTGTTTTTGTCTTGCGATGTCACGGCGTTTGTCGTAACGGGACTGTTTGTTTGTGTCAAAGGGCTAAGGCCTTGTTTGATGGTAAGTGATTGTCTACCTGGCTTCGTATTTCGCATCTTCTTGCTTTGTTGTTTCTGGTATGATGATTCTGATCTGAATTCTTTGGTCTTTGTCTTGAAGTTCTGTGGCATGATGCGTTTTTTCTTGGGGTTGGTGATGCGCCATATGTATATTTGTTGTTTCTCAACATGTCGTGTTACTGTTATTTCATGTTTCGTCCAACCTTTTGTCCGTTCGATCTGTCTCCAGGTTTCGTGTGGTTTCGTGGCGTGCGAGCCGTTGTCCAATAGATCCGTGGCATCCGTGACATCTTTGTTCTGTCTCAGGATAGGTCTAATGAACTTGATGCCTCAGGGTTTCGTGATTCTTGGTCTGATTCTGTTATGTCTTAGCAGTTCGGGCATGATGGTTTTAGACTCATTCAAATCTTGTGTTACGTCTGATGTTATCGTGTGTCCATGATCTGACCTTGTTACCTTAGATTCAGAGACGGAACCAACATCTAGATGAACTTCCCTTTGCGCCGTCCATCTCCACAGTCCATTGGCTCTTGACGTTTGTCCTGCGGCTCGGAGATCGTGTTTGTTTGGAAGAACGGCTTCATCCAACCGAAGGGTTATTGAAACAAAACCCAGAACTTCCGTTCGCGACGCCCAAAGTCCTTTGTCCAACCGCCTGTGTCAAACCCAAGTTTGGGCCTGTAGCCAAGTTGTTCTAGATGAACATGTCCGCTCGCGATCCCATTTTGGAGTAACAGAACAACAGTTTTGCTTCAATGTTTTCGGGGGTGAGTGTTTTGTTTTCTTAGAACGAACGTAAAAACCTCGGGCTACCGACTACAAGTTGCATTACTAGTAGCATTGTTTGCATAGTTAGGTGTTTGAATGTTACTTTTCCTCCAAAGTCTCATTCTTCATCAGGAGCTCCACCACTCAGAAAGGCCTTGAGCCCTTCTTAATCCCTCCAAAAAATGGAATCCTTACCACTCGTTGACCTTCAAAGAAAGCCTTGGAACCCATCTTCGCCCAAAATCCTCCCTCAACGGTTTTGAACACTTCATTCACCAAGGCTTCCGAGTCTTTCCTGATTTCAACGTCTTTGAACCTTTCTGAAATGGATCGACATAACTAGATAACGTATAACAACTAGATTCTAGATTATGAAGGACATCAACTGAATTAACCTTGGACATGCTCTTTGAAGCCTTCTTGCTTTCTTCGTCCAAACTTGAGACACCTCATGCATTCACGAAGCAAGAGGTCCCTTTTTTCTGCTTGTGTCGTCTACGAGGCTATATACAATTCTAGGCACATGCGCACAATTGAATCATACAGAACAATGAACAAAGGATTCAATTGGTTTCTGGTGGTCCGATGTTTCTTCAGATGCGGTGATGCAGCATGCCCCTTCGGCCCCTTGGCTAGCTGAATGGGAATGGGCTGCTATACCTCAGTGCAAAACCATCTGAGGCTTCGTTGGAAGCCTTTCCGGCAAGAACATGCAGTCGAACGCATGTTCGAACGCACATGCGTTAACCAGTGAGTTCCCACGGCATGACTGCATGACCATGTTTTTTCCCGTACCGCAGCGTACTCCGTGCTCCTTGCCAGTTTTGGCACTTGCATTCCCATGTTGCTTGTTTCTCAGGCACCATCACTGTCCAACCGGTCGTATCATGTCTATCCAGTCTTCATGTGCTTCACGCTTCACCATGCTTCACCTCGCAATGTGGTGCTCCTCGTGCTCCACCTCGGTCCGCGCACACCGCAGCCTCCAACGCTCGGCGCATCGAAGACCTGGACGGTCAGCGACCCAAAAGGCCTTCGAGTCTCTTCCGCTGCTTGACGGTGAGGACGGACAGCAGGTCCTGAGCGGTCGCGAACAGGGAAAGCATAAGGCATGCGAAAGCTGAGAGCTCGGAGCTCTGAGTCCCCAAAATAACATGCTTTCATGGCACTTGGCACTGCCATGGCACCCGGAATTCTGCTTCAAGCAAGCTGCTTTGGAGGAATTGCACATGTACCACAGCATGCCACATCAACACAATTATTCATAGTGTGACACATAGCTTTGCTGGGGCTTGCATGTTTTGGCGGAGATTCTTTCTAATGTTGATTGACGTTCACGGACTTCTCAAAGATCGTTTGAACTTCTGTTGGATTTGGTTAATGCTGTTCATGCTATATATGCTTGCATTTACAGGGTCAAAGGCCTCGCATGCATCTTCACAGAGCCCTTGAAGTGCTCCCAGTCTTCTGCCAGTGTTGTATCCAAATTTGGTGAGCTCTTGCACCAAAGAGATAAAAGCATTGCATTAAAAGTCGGGAAGCAAAAGAAGTGATGTGACTAGAAGGGGTGGAACAAGAAAAGAATGGAGAGGAAGCTGACCAGAACAAACGGCCGAAAGACCGGACCTCACTAAGCTTGCCGGTTTTGCCAGTCGCTCGCTCCTACTCTTGTTGCTGTGCCAGTCAATCATCGCACTGGTTGGCACAGTGTACTTTTTAGTGACCACATGTGGTTTGTGCGTTTGCTCAGGCAAAACACTGCATCTGAAAACACATGCCGAAGCTTCGCTGTAAGTCTTCAAGGGCATGCTGGCCAGTGAGGCCAGAAACTTGGCTTGGAGATCCTGGCTGAAAAGTGTCTTGAACAAAAAATACACCAAAAAAAACAGCTGCTTTTGCGGAAATGCTCGCTGTCCTGATCACACACGTCTTTGTTGCCATAGACCTTCAGGCGCCCATTTGGACTCCCACAGCACTCGGTGCGACATACAGCTACAGCACGACAGCGACAGCACGATAGCGACTCAGTCCAAGAACTTCAGAGAGGTAGCCCACGGCTCGTGCTGCAGAAATCCCTTGAATCGCCCCAGATTCGACCTCCACAAATGGGTTGGAGGCCATCATGCATCATGGCCATCGCTCTTATTCTACACAGCTGAGTTCAAAAATAGTTCAAACGGCTTCTCAGAGTTCCGTGCCTGAGCGAAGATTTGGTTGTTCAGCCTAGAGGCGCCCGAGAAGCCGCTTCAAGCGATAGAAAAAAGCAGAGGCTGAAAGTCTTCGCCGTTTCTCTTTTGTGAGATGGTTTGTAGCTTCATGTTGAAACGTCTTGCCTGGCCTGCGGCTTTCAGCGAGATCTGCCTAACAGGGGTGCTGAGGCATTCGCGTGGTTCGGTGTTGTCTTCCGCTTTACGTTTGGCAGTTCTGCTCTCACGTCTCATCAGCTCTCCCGTATTGGCTTCTCTTTGGCCCACAAGGCCCAGAACCATCCATATCATGATGAAAATGCCGAGCCTTCAAGGGAAGTGCTGCAAAACAACTCCTCCAGCAGTCGCTGCAAGTGTCGGCCAATGCACTCGAGTGACTCAAGCACAGCTGCACCAGTGCAGCAATCTCACCTGCAGCAATCTCGCCACAGCATGTCACAGCTCACAACTCTAAAGTCTGTGAAATCCTGGTGATGGCTTTCTCCTCTTGTCTGATACCTGTATGTCTCGGTATGTCAGTATGTCCGTCATCTTCGTCCCTGGCCGTATTTCGATCCCTCCGTTCGTTTTCTGTTGGAAGAGCCTTTCGGACCTTGTTCCTTTCTTACTGTAGTTATCTGTAGTTCATGTCTGCAAACATTACTTATATAAATCCTAAAATCAATATCAAACCACCTTTCGTTCTTTCTCTTTTTAGACCTAGACCGACCCTGCCCTCCACCCCCGCCGTCGCTCCGGAGCTCCCGCGGCCGCAGCCGCTCGGCCGCTGGGAGCGCCCAGGGCGCAAAGGCCTCGCTGCGCGCGGCCCAGGCCACGCCACGCGCGGCCCAGCGTCGCTCCTCGCGATCGGAGGACAAGGCCTGGAGGACAAGGCCGATTGGCCAATGTTTGGAGTTTCAAAGCCTCGGAATGACCCTTTTTTCTTTGCTAGTCTTGTCTTTCTGTTCTTTACTTGCCATGTTTTCTTTTTCAATGTTTTATACTACTGTTTTTGTAAAGTTCTTTTGCATGAATTAACATTATCTGCTTGCAACTTCTCCAAGCGAAGACTTCTATGATCTTATTAGATGGTACTTTTGGTTGCAACACGGTTCCAAGTGTTGCAACGTGTTTCAACCCCCCTCCGCCCTTGATTCCACCCCGTTTAGATTCAGATCTTGGGCTTTGTAGACAGGAATTGTGGGAATTCACAATTGCTCTTCCTTGAGGGTGGGGGCCTGTGACCGTGCACTCTTATCTCATCGATAGCTGCCTCTTGTTCAAGCGAGTCATAGTCTTGATCAATGCATTCCTTTGTTTTGCTCTCGGCATTCGTCGTTGCATCTTCTCAACTAGCTATATGTGTCTATTCTCCATGATTTAGCCACTTTATGATGTGGCTGTCCTAGCCCTGATGGGCATGAAATTACAAAAGTACATCACACATGGTTGCGTTGGACCTAATGCATGCCAATTGTATCCAAGCAGCCCCTTTTGACTACATGTCTGCCGAACCGTGGCCGTGTGCAGAGAGAATTGGCCAAACAAAACCAAGGTACTACGACCACCTGCGTCATGAAGGTAGGCCAAGCACTTGCAGCATCCTCACCCAAGTGACATATCTCACAAGCCAAACGCAATGCCAACTTGGTTCCTCCAGCCCCTCGTGGTTTGCCAAACCATTGCTGCAATAAGCTTAGCAAACTTGGCCAAGCTGATGAGAGGAAGGCCTGCGGGTCTGCCTTCATGCAGGAGGTGATGATTGACAAAAGCCCTGTGCGGCACTGGTGCTCCTCGTTCTCATCTTCGTCATCGCCTTCTTCCTCCTCGTCCGATCCACTCCACGATGTTTCCCTCTTCGAAGTCTCACCCTCCACTGGCCCCGCCCCTTCTCGCTGAAAGGATTTCGCGATTTCGCTGACGGCAAGTCCACAGAGATCCGTCACCTGCTGCGCCGTCACCTGCGCAGTCGCACCAGGGAGCGTTCCGTCTTCGTGCCTCGCCCGATCGATGATCAAGGCAAGAGCTCTGGCCATGGAAGCAATATCGTCTGCTTCCTCACTGTTCATGATATCCAAGGCCAGTTTCTCCACGAAGCTTTGCACCAAAATGCGTTTGGTCTCCAAATCCAAACCCTTCAAACTCACCAACTCAGCCCAAGTGGGATAAATGCCCTCACGGAGCTCCGAGGTGAAGACCGATGGACTTTGACTCAGAAGCTTGACTAAAACCCGACTGGTGGGCAAGACAAACTGCAAGAAGCACTCAGCAGTGTGTTTCATTAGCACTTCTAGAAGCTTTATCAGTGCAACAGCTTCTGTTAGCTGCCCGGTCCTCACTCGAAAAGTGGAAGTATCCAGTTGTACAACCAAATCATCTTCAGCCCCTTGAATGTCAGTGGTGAATGCTTCAAGTTGGTCCAGGCTGCCCAAAATGCTGGGCACCAAAAGCGGAAGAAAATGTCCGAAGTCAACGCCCAGGACTTTGCACATGCGTTGGATCGAATCCCGGGAGCAATCTGATAATTCACACACGTCAATGCTTGCATCTATAACATCTGATTCACGTTTTGGTGCAAGCGACTTCAATGCAGCTGCAGCGAGGGGTGCAAACTTCTCTTTGGTCACTGCGAAACCCATCAAGGAGATACATTCAAACGCCTTCTCACGAATGGTGGAGTGGATATGGTCCTTCGATGTAGATTCAAGTGCCCTCAACAGCAATGGGGCCAAAGAATCGTAGCAATCATCAAAGCCATCATCCACTGCGATGGCCAAAGCACCAAGAGCCTCCAAGGCTGCGACGACGATGTTCGTGTCAGAGGACTGCAGTTTCAGCACCAGGACGTTGACGAGCATGCTGGAAAATCGACTGATCTCATGCGATGAGCATTGGTGAAGATGACTTTCCAGTGCTCCGATGGCCTTCCTTGCTATGAGAACCTCTTTCTCCTGACAACCTCGGGCAAAGGCGGGCATGAACTTCTCACACCATTCTTGGTTGAAGTTGGAACCCCGATCATGACACAACTGTCCCAAAGCGAAAAAGGCTGCAGAGCCAACACGGCAGTGCGGATCGGTGGTCAATTGCAGAAGCGCTTCGGTCATCTGATCAGCCGAAATCTCATCCGCATATTCCCCGGCTGCTCGAATGGCCAGAGCAGCTGCCGTCCGTTCCTTCCATGAAGGACTTCTGGCGTAGCGAAGCGTCAAGGAGGCCAACGGGCTCTTGGCCACGTTGAACGTGAAGTTCTTCACCAAGAAGTCCACTTTGGCCTCGCCTTCTTTGCAAAGCCGTTCCGCTTCTTCATCTTCCTCAAGTTCACTGAGAAAAAGAAATGCAACTGTCAGAGCTTTGGAAGGTAAATCAGGCACTGCCTTCACCAATCCCTTGGCGGAGGCTACGAGGCTGGCCACCCATTCAAAGGAGAGCATTCGCACAGAAGGATGAACCGGAGATAGAGCGAGCTTCAGCATGATTTCAATCCATATCTGGTATCTTGATTTGAAGAAGCTGGGCTGATGTTCTGCCAGCATAATCAACGCTTGTAAGGCTTCAGGGAGGTTTGGTGATTGCTCTTCCGTGAGCAGGGCCAATGCACCTTCCAATTGTGGAAGGACTTGCTGTAGAGCACTCGCCACTCCAGTCTTCCACTTCAGCTCACCCTGATGAGCTCCCACTATCTGGGAGACCAACACAATGGCGCTTGCCGCGAGTGTTTTGGAGGTCAAACCCTGGTGGATGATGCTCATCGTCTGACTGTGAGACATGATCTCCTAGCCGCACAAGTGTCAAAAAGCACGACACAAATCACAATAAGTCATGATCAAATCAAGTGAGAAACTACTATAGGGGCTCCTGGCACTACGAACGGAGCGATTGGGCGCGAACCGAACGGAGTGCCACTGCAGTCTGCACTCCACTGGTGAAGAAGTGGGAACATCTCTCCTCGACGTGGCGGCCCACCAGCTCGCCCAAAAGACAAATGGCAGCCTCGATCGACGAGTCGCGTGCTTGACATTTTGCAAGACACAACTTGCTAGTAGCTTAGTAGTACTGCTATTAGGTTGCCCTTTGCTACTAGTAGCTTCTTCTTACTTGATAGTAATGCCCTTCTTGTTCATGACATTTTGCAAGGCAGATCAGACCTCCAAGACCTCAAAAAAGCCGTTCTTCGCAGGAAGGTAGTGACAGCGGGAACAGCAAAAGTAGCAGTAGCCCATCGTTGCAGCAGTAGCAACAGCGAAACGAACCAGCAAGGTAGTAGTAGGGCCAGGAGCCCCTAGTAGCGTCCGATCGCTCCTAGTAGCAAAAATCAATGTCACATGTCCAAGCCTCAACGTTTTCATTCGCAAGATCGAACACCATGGGAACCAACTCTGGCCATGGCCCAGCCTCAGTTGGAGACAACTTGCAGTAAAAGGATTTCAAAGAGCTCATGAATGATCCGCTTCAAGCATTCACAGAAGGTTGAAGGCCATCGCTAGTAGGTTGGAGGCCATTCCTATTAGGGAGCCCAGGATAGAACGTGGTAGCTTTGTTTCATGCTCTTGACAGAATAAAGGCCATTCCGTTGAACATGTTCGAAGCTCGCCTCAGAGATGACGGCAATGGCAGCCACCAAGGTACGTCTCACCGGTGAACAACTTTCCCGTGCTATGGCCTTCGTGGGAATGGCAGCGCTCTCGAGACTTCTGGCCGCTGCTTGGCCATCGCTACTAGGAACAAGAAGCTACGAACGGGGCTCCTGGCCTTACTACTAGGAGCGATCGGACGCTACTAGGGGCTCCTGGCATCGCTTACTAGAAGCATCCTTACTACTATAGTGACAAGAAGCTACTAGTAACAAGTGCATCGCTATTTTCGTGCTATCATTCACGGCCGATGGCCACTGTCTGCTCATGTCTGGCTGGCACCTTGATGAGGTTGATACGGATGGCCGCATGCACGTGGACCGCCTTTTCCGCAACGGTGGTTGAGAAGTACGTGCCTCACTGAGGCCTCCAACCTAGAAGCAATGGCCTCAACCTAATAGCAATGGTTCCCAAAAAGATATCGGAGTTCTGCTGAGCTGTATATTTTCGTTCCAGCTTCTTGTTCCTAGTAGTACGGCCAGGAGCCCCTAGTAGCGTCCGATCGCTCCTAGTAGCGATGCCATGAGCCCCTAGTAGTCATGCCGTTGTCCAACATGAAGTGGAGTCCTCTCACTCGCCTTTGGCCATGGATCTTCAGGTCCCGTGGCAACCGTCGCAGCCCGGCGCAGCAACGTGGCAGCCTCGCTGGACCCGTTTGTGGCGCGGCGGCGCGCCGTTCGTTGGTTTGTTGCACATGTGAAGGTGTTCACCGCCGATCTGGTGCCATTCCGTCTCGCTTTGTCACACCCATCCGGATGGATGCCTGAATCCTGATCACGTCATCATGGTGAGCCAAGCAATGCGCCAAACATGCCTCAGTGCCGCTGCCACTGTCTCTTGTCACTAAGTCGCCAAAGATGCCAAAGGTCACACTAGTCTCACTTGTGTTGGCCTCCAACCTACTAGCGATGGCCTCCAACCTACTAGTCTCACTTGTCTCTGAATTGCAGCAAGGGTGCAAAAACATGAGCTGGATCTGTTTGGCATGCGGCAACATACCTTGCAGGAAAAATGGAAGGTGCTGTCAAGGCCACGGCAACATATGAGAAGCCAAATACGACAACACATCCAAAACAAAGGTGTAACAGTGTAAGAAACCGACCGCTACTACAGGACTACCCTTGGCCCTATGATTGCCCCTTCCAAAATCGTTCAACGTCATTTATTAAAGGGCAATCTGAGAGAATGCATTCGCTGTCAGGCCTCTTTTCAGCGTCGGATCTTGTACTGTTGTCGGGGCAGCGGAGGAGTTCCAAGAGTCTGAGAAAGTGGGCAACCTTGCAACAAACACAGAACACATAAAGAACGATACACAATATCAGCATTCCATGGGGGGAGGCCATCGCTGGTGGGTGGGAGGCCATCGCTACTAGTAGCGATGGCCTCCGACCTATTAAGAATTATGGCCTCCAACCTACTTGCTATGGCCTCCACCCTAGGGTGGAGGCCATCGCTAGTAGTGTACAGAACAACGGTATACAACATGCTGCAGCTTGACATGGTCCAACTCAGCTGCCAGCGTCCAGCTCGGTCATGCTGCCCAGCCATGCCGAAAGAGACAGAATTGACCACAAGAACCTGCTTGATTTCCTCTTAGAGAGTGGCTCCAAGGTGAGCTATTTCATGTGTTTGCTCTGGACACCTTTCAAAAGCTGTGAGCCATTTGGGCATCAGCTGACTCAAATTGATATCCCAGAGAACATGTGAAAGATGGTGTCACAAGCACATCTCTACGGTCCAAGTGCGCCACTCGAAGCGCTTCTTCGAAATCTCAGACCTCGCAAACTCGACAAGCTGACACTTTTGTCAAGGTCTCAATCTGTCTTTGTGACCAATCTCTTCCAGAAAAATTGGTAGGACGCCACCGCTACTGCGGTGGGAGGCCATCGCTGCTAGTCAAACTTTGCACAAAATGTTGTTCTTCGCACGCAAGGGAGGGAAACGTCCATTTTCCACGTCGCCTGTGCGCGCTGCGCTGTTTTTGCAGCCTACGTTTGCCGCAGATTTGTTGCCCATGAGTTGTCTCTTTGTGGGAGTCACAAGCTTCAGCTTCAGGTCTGGGCAAACCAAACGATGGAGGTGCCAATTGCACCGTCAAAAGCGAGTCATTCGGCTTTTCTGGCTTCCTTGGCTCAAACTCGCTCGAAAGAAGACACGACGGAATGCATGCTGCCGGCGTAAACCCCGAGTCAAGCGCCTTCTTTATTTCGCCTCGAGACGAGGATGACATGAGTCCCGCGGGGGGGGGGAGGAAGCTAGTAGTAACAAGTGCCACGCTAGTAGTAACAAGTGCCTTACTAGTAGTAACAAAAAAGCTATTAGAATTAAAACAAAACTAATATATATTTAAATTAATAGCTTCTTGTTACTACTAGTAAGGTCCATGGAAACCGTAAAATCTGTTGTGCTCTGACAGTCCATCACGGTCTGACACGGACGACACTCCGCTCCTGTTTCTTCTTCTTCTCGCTCTTGTCGGCTTTGGGTGCTTCTCCTTGCTTGGCCATGAGCTGCTGAACCTGCTCCTTTCCTGAACGGAGGCAGGAGGCCACAGCTCTGCTCTGAAGAGTGAAAAGCCGTGCGTCCATCTTTTTGTGTTTGCCAAACTCCAATGAAACTTCTCGTGTTCATTCGGGTGGAGGCCATCGCTAGTAGGCTGCAGAGGCCACCGCTAGTTGTTGAAGGCCATTTCTTCTCGTGTTCAATTCGTCATGGTTTTTTTTTGAATGTGCGTAGACCAAAGCACACCGGGTTTGCCGGTTGTGCCTTGGAATGTCTACCGGCATGTCGTGTCTTGCGTCTTTTTGGCAGACGCAGGCGCACGCAACCAAAAATTGGGATTCACACCTTCGCAAACCCTTCTTCCAGGCAACCTGTCGCATTCTTACTCCTCTTCGCACGCTGTCTTCTTGCAAAGGGGCCTTGATATATTCAGGCCTTCCTCTTAGGAGAGAGCACGATCCTGCCTACCTTCTCGCAATCAACCTGTCTTCTTACCGGAGCCTCTCTCTTAGTCTTATTCCATGCCTGTCCTCCTTTCTCTGACGCAAAGTTTGGCCTCTTCTCACAGTAAAACCTGCCTAATTTCTGACGATGGGTCCTCTCCACGAAATAACACGCTTAAAACATACTCCTTTCTTCGCAAAGCACACCCGGCTTTTCCTCTGACGCCATGTGCAGTTCTGCCGAGACATGTATATATGTTGTAAACATGGCGCTGAGGAAGGACAGGACAGGCCGCTTGGATCCACCCGAGGAGGACAGGCGCCTTTCTCCACCATCGTCATGAGGAAAGCTTTCGGATCCTGCGGTGGCAGGCACGACCGGCGCCGGCGGGCGCGTGGGTGCGACAAGCGAAGCGAGCAAAATGAGTGCCGATGTGCCCGGGCCGTTTGCAGCTGCTCCATGAGTTCGGCAGGGATCTTCTTCTTTGCCTAACCAGAAAAAATCGCAGCAAAATGCTTTGATCTCGGGCTGAATCCAGCCTTCTGATATGCGGGATCAATGGCCAAACGGTAGACCTTCCAAGATTGTGCACATCCAACTGCATGCAAACGACCAGCTCCATTATGACTCTTGTGTGTCTTGCATCCGAGACGCAGTCTTGCCACCTTCGAAAAAAGAGCATATACACCTCAGGCTGTCTTGACACTCCTTCCAAGGAAGCGTTCTATATACATCTTTCTACACATCTATGGCATAGTCTATGGTGTTCGAAACGTAAGGTCGACGTTGTTTTCGATGGAAGGTATATCGACAGTGAGACCGTGTGTCTTGGTTTTCCGGCGAGGAGGCCAAACCTCAACTCGGTGTAGAAGGGGAAAATCCAAATGGCGCCCCAAGTGATGTTCTCAACCGCTGACAAAATGGTCCACCTTGGTGAAGTCATTTCAGAGTCATGAAAATTCTTCCACCCTCCTTCCCCACTGTCTCACGTCGAAATAGGCCAGCCACGTAACCCAAAAGGCCAGCCTTGGCTCCCAGAGCGGGAAAAAGGACCAAAACACCACCGGCTGGGAAAACGGAAGAAAAAACAGGTGTTGATTGCATTTGATTGCTATGGCGACACTGTGAAGCATGGCATCTCATCTCATTCTTGCACAACTGAGCCGTGGTGCACAGGGTGCACCATCCCCAAAATGAATGACCCTCTTGATCCTTCACGTTGCCCCATCTCTGCCCTGCAATTCTCCACCAACGACCGTCACGACCTCTAGTCCTATTGGAGCGACACGGCCTGCTAAACGACAAGATCAAGGCGCATGTTGGTGTCATCATTGAGGCTCTTGGACTCCAAAGCCTTCAAGCTCACCAAAGGCGCATAGGCCGTGACCAGGACGAATTCAATGGGAGACCTAACAGCGGAATCTGCCACTTCTTCACCAAACTGGCCTTCTCATTTACTAGCGGCTAGCGATCCCACCCACTAGCGATGGATCTGCTATGTCTGAACCACACTAGGTCAAGCCAGGACACAAAATGAAGCCAAACATCGCTCTCGTGGAAGGCCTATCCCTCTGTGCCGAAACAGCTGCAGGAAAAAGTGTTCTCTCGGCTGGTGAAGCTCCAAACTGGCCAGACTTCTCATCTCTTCTGGTGCCTTAAACTGAGGTTTCTGGCATCGTCAGCAAGCTCTTGTGTCGCATCGTCTGCACCTTCTAGCAGCAATGCATCCTCACAAGTTTGCTGCACCTGATGTGCGAGGACCTTCTGCGGCTGTCTGCCTCTGTGGCAGACGGACTCTGAAAAAGCCAAGCCGGTCCTCCATCGGGTCTCTGCCAACAAGGTCTCGGACCTCAAGCTGGATGGTGGGCAAATGGAAGGACCAACGATCTTTGGGTTTTGCTCTCTATGTGTATCTCAGAATTCTTAGCGCAATTCCATCGGTAAAGTACTTATTGTCTTCCAAACGACCTCTCGAGTCAGACCTTCTATCGAAGAAGACTGATTGGCTATGGTTGGCTCATTTGCTTGAGCCGATTCTATGAAATAGGACTCCAACAGTTGTGTAGTTACTTCACGTAGGGTGCTGAACCGTGCTGAAAGATGCTGCCCCAAAAAGGGGTACAGGAATGAATCCGAACGTTTGGCCATCAAGGTGTTTGGATTCGTTCTTGGTGTTTTTTGGGCCATATCCCAATCTGGAACGCCATGCAGGACCTGGGGAGCGCAACGGGACATGTTCTGTGGTGTTTTCTGCAGGCACAATGTCCAACAGCTATTCTTCCCGTTGCACTGTGGGTCGGTGTGGTTGAAGCATAGCAGTGAGGCTTGGCCGTGTGTGACGGCCACGAGTGCAGGCTTTAGTGCCGCTGTATATTTCCTCTTGAGCGCAACTGAGGACACCACCCATCTCTCAGATGAGCAGCAAATCCAACATGGAGGTAAGACCTTGGCTTAGTAACATGCTCAACTTGCTAATGCTTTGATATTGGTTCATGTCACCAGAAGGCTTCATTCAGAGTTTCATCTACTATGCCACTATGTTGTCCTGCCTCCGGGTCACCATTTTGATTCACAGACCTCAGCGGTGCGTTTCACCCCGTCAGAACTGAGCACTCCTGGCACTCCTGGCACAAACAGTACTGTAGTGGGAAAGCTGACGCCGGGTGAGGGATCAAACAAACAATGTCAAGTTGATGTACACGAGTAGTAACACGGACGAAACTAACCCCACCCCCCCCACCCCCAAAAACCCCGTTTCGACCAGTCCACGGCTCGGATATCTGTCGGGGCTAACCCCGGCCCAACATGTTACCGACTCAGGCGAGTTCATGCCATATTGTGAGATGCAATGGGTGACCTTGAAAACACCCATCAAGTTCGGCGCAGTGCAGCGGGTGCGCGCGCCGCGGCTCCAATCCCCCGAAGCAAACATCAAAAGCGAAGCAAACCAAGTCGATCATCATCCAAAGCCCCATTGCCCCATCAATCACCCAGAAAGTGATATTAGCATCCGTTCGGCTTCCGTTAGGCATCCGTTCGGACACCAGGTAGCTTTTGTGTCTGAGGTCGCGCCAAAGCAATGGATTAGCAGGCTGGGGGACCAGAAAAAGGACCAGGGGACCAATGGATGTTTGTTGATCCTCTTCCTGTTTGATCTAGATTCCTTTTTCCAGGCGGCTGGAAAAGAATATGTCTGTTCTGCATGCTGCAAACAAAGGCAAGCTGAGCCGTTGACACATCAAAGCAAATCAGGTTGCCTTCGACCAACCCGGACAAGTTGACTGTCTCCTTTCATGGCAACAGCCGTTGCAAGATACGGGAAATCAAAATCTAGCAAAGCAAATGCACAAGTCAAGTGCCAACGTGCACGAAAGGAAATGAAACGCTGAGTGGAAAAGAACAGGGATGAAATGTCGAAACGGAAGGTCTCCAACCCCATCGCCACTAGGTTGGAGGCCATCGCTAGTAGCTTGGAGGCAATTTCTATTAGGTTGGAGGCATTCGCTAGTAGGTTGGAAGCCATTGCCATCTCTATTGAAACGGAAGGCTGATTGAAGCGACTCCTCTGTCATCGTCGCATCTCGGCCGTGCAGCAGTGTCACGTCTGAACAATCCACAGAGAAGGGGCCATCTTCCGAGGGCCTGTGTCAGCACATCACGCACAGCAACATTCCCGTAATCTAAAGGTGTGCGAAACACCTATGACTTAATGTATTTGGATCCGGTTGCATCGTGTCACAAAGAAACACCTATGATCAAGCACTTTCTGACAACGACAACGAACGACCTTTGCTGAAACACGAAGAATGCCATGCCCTCCACCGATCCCCCCCTTCTTGTGGCACTTGCACTATGCGTTCCAAGGATTTCACTTTGCAATGCCGCAATGCCGAATAAGAAAGCTTTAAACATGTGATATAGATGTGATATAGCTGAATGACTGAATGGCCGACTCAAGTGCCACAGAAAGACCGACTCTGCCTTTCCCTTTCCCACCACAGGAGCCAAACCAAACTGAGTTACTTCTCTTCCAATTTCTTTCCTCCATTCCACTCCGTTCCACTCCTCTCTCTCGCCTCATCACTAAACCTTGAAATTCGCCGAAGCGGACATTGCTGTCGCTGACATCCACACCCACACGCTTCCAAAGCGGGGCTGAAGCCTGCGGCCTTGGTGGACAAATGGCGCTATGAGGGCCAAAAGGCTTTCTTTCCTGTCGGTTCTGTTCGTCGTTCTGAGTCGAACGAATTTCCTGCGGCTCTGCGGCAAGCCGTTGCGGTTCATGTGGATCTTGAAGCATGCGACATCGTTCAGAGCCAATGCACCTGAACGGCTTGGCACTCAACCGTCATGCTCATTCCAAGAGTGCTGGGAGGTGAGCTTGGCTCTGCCACAGATTGATGCACATAGACCTTCGCGAGAAGGCAAAACAATCACGTCATCTGTTGGCCAAAAAGCACTGAGGGCAAAGCGTCTCGTGGCAAATTTGAAACTGGACATCTCACCATAGAAACCTCAACCAACACCCGACAATACCGAGACCAGGTGTCTAGTGTTGAAGCAAGCTGCTACAAGCCGACACCCTGTTGATCAAACGAATTCGCTGAGACTCGCTGAGATCAAAGCATTTTTCTCCAGATCTACCAGAGAAACGCGACCGACATGGAAGTCGTCGGGCCTCTGCAGACTGATGCAGGGCCGCACGTCACACTGCTGGTGGAACGGTGCCCCAAAACACTCTGTCTTGCATTGCACTCTTCTACAAGCGATGGCCTCCAACCTACTAGCGATGGCCTCCAACATGGTTCCACAAGCGTTGCAGTCGCTGAGTGCCGATTAGGTGTCCGGCACCCAGTCGATTTCAATCTCGTCTATCTTGTTGAGAGATGCCTGTCATACTTCCGTCTTTCCTTCTTTCGACCCTAGGCCCTATCCGCCAACTGCTCGCACAGAAGGGCAGCTCTGCTGTTCTTCCGCATTTTCCGCCTCCCTCACTTCCCTCCATTGCGGCTAGCTAGTCGGTTTTGCTTTCCTAACGATAGCTAGGCTTTTTTGCTTGACGCTTGCCCGGCTTGATCCGGCTTGCCCTTGCGAGCCTTGGCCTTCCAACTATCTCCGCCACCTTCAGCCATGCCACATCGATCCAACTGAGGAACACTTCGCTTAGGGCCGGAACGAATTTGGCCAGGGGTCTGCCTTGGTGCCATGCTGCGCAGAACATGACCAGTTTGTCACTTGATGAGGCTCCCACCAAGCAGCAGGCATGGAATTCTTGCCACTTCCTTTCTTTCCACTCCCCTTTGCAGCTCCCTTCCCACCTTCAAGCAAAACGGCGCGTTGCTTTGCTTGAAAGACAAAAAAAAAACACCGTGGACGCCGCTTCACGCGGCGCGGCGCGGCGCTCTGCTCTCCGCCCTCGCCTTTGCCGCAGCCTCCCCCTCCGCCTTTGGGGCCGGGGGCCACGCCTTCGGCCACGGACTGACTCGGACGGGCGACGAGTGAATGGCCTAGGGCCTAGAAGCGCCTCCGACCTACTAGTGGGCTCCAAGCTAGTATTGGACATGTTCTTTTGCAGTGAGACATGGAAGATCAATGTGATTGGGATTTCGTCAACAAATCGAAGCAGGAAAACCACGCTTTCTGGTGATGAACCCGGTGTGGCATTGTCCATGGAAATCTCTCAGGACTTGGCTCGCTTGGCCAGGAGGGCCCGCTCGCCTTGGAGCGCCACATGAGCGAATCCGGGCTGAACATGAAGCGCTAGGTGCTACGTTCGGTTCGCGTCCCATGCGCTGCATGAAAAACATGCTGATCTCCCCACACTTCTAGGCTACTTGCGCCAACTTGCGCTGTTGGCTGAGCTCCTGACACAGTTCCACCCTTCGAAAGAGTGAGCTTTGGGAGCCCTCCAATTGGCATCATCCCTGGCAAACATTGCGTCCAACCCATGTAGCAACATCAATGCAGTGCTTGGATGAGTTCTCTTGGACCCTTCAGCCCTTTGGGCCGCTCAGGCGGCACTGAAACGTGAGAACGAGCGTACGGAGCGGAGCAAGAGACCGGATTGCTCGAGGTGAATGTGTCCAGCTGTGTTTTCACTGTTTCCTTCTCTGGTCATTCTACAGAACTTGCAACTTGATCCTATTCAATTTCGCATTCCAACTATGAAACTCAGTTAATTAATCCTAAGTCCCAACTTCTGACCAAAAAAGATCTATTCATTGCCAACAAATCCAGTTGGATGTCTAATAAAACTCTATTTGAAATTCTGGAGGCGCAGCACTATTTGCACTTTCCACTTCATTGATTCATTCACCTCTCCACTTGTCTGAACTCGTTTAAGCTGCTTGTTGGCACTTTCTGGTCATGACTGTTCTCTGCTCTTGTGCTTGCTTGTTTCTCCCCTTACTTGCTCGTTTTGCTTGCTTGACTTTTCTCTCCTCTCTAACTTCGCACCATCCTAACAAGAGAAAGAGAGAAAGGTAGAGATAAAATAAAACTGAATATCTAGTTGGAAGTGAACTATTCTGAAGCAAACTGTACACATTCACTGCTTCAGTTTTTCTCTCAACCTTTTGCAGCCTTAGTGGAAACTGCAGCAACCAGTTCCGTATTCTACCAGAAAAATGGTGCAAAACAACGAAAAATGCCTTTGCTCTTTGCTTTCTCTGGCTTGTGGGGCCCCTTTAAAACCATTCCGTTTTCTTTCCTCTTCCGCTCGTGGCGTCAAACGCGGCGAGACGCGGAGCGCGTCTAAGGAATCTCGGCCGCGTCTCGGCAGCCGTCGCGCCTGTCCCTGGTGTTGGTGCGACGGCCGGCTGTGCTTGCAAAGCCCAGCTGGGAGCCTATCAAAAGTGGTCTCGAAGCACAAGCAATCTGCTCTTCGTTCAAAAATGGCCTCCCACCTAAGAGCGTTTATTCTTGCAATGATGTTCTCTTCAAGGTTACAGTGATGCTGGGACGGTCTCTGCCTGGCCACTGGCCTGGCCAGCTGCCTGGCCACCGGCAAAGCCCACTTGCTGCCAACCTTTGGTCTGGAGCAATTGCTGTGACAAAGCACGGGTGAGCACGAGGGCAGGGGCAAAAGGGGCACACTCTCTGCAAAAGTAATTAGTTGGCACTCTGGATTTGGTCTTCGTGTGGCATATTTCGGCCCACCCAAAACCCACATGCGTGGTAGGCCGCCCATCATGCGTGGTAGGCTCAAAGCCGTCTTCTTCGGTTCTCAGACCGTTCTTTGAAAGGCCTTTCACCTTATCAAGCCTGCACCGAGTGCTTTACCTCCGGATTGATGTCTTTTTACCTCCGGGACACTCCATCTGTGTCATCCATCCAGTTTGCCAAAAGAAAGGCAGAAAAAGGTTCCAGGTCGGCAGCATTTCACAAAGACGGGATGGTTTTCGAATCGATTCCAGGTCAGCGTCGGAACCACCTTGAGGCTCGCCTCACCAGTGGCATCCCCTGAGGCTGCAGCAAGGAGCCGAGGCCTGTGGATTGCCGTCCTTGTTCACATGGATTTCAAAGGCAATCACGTCCTCAACCGCGGCCACCACCCCAATCAAGAAGCAAGATGAATTCAGAACTGTGTGGTTGATTCGTCGGAATCTGAGGAAGCATCCCCTACATTCAGGCCACACTGCTGCACCACAGTGCCATGGATGTATGCCTCAACTCCAACTGGTGGACACCTGTTTGGCGGTGGTTTAAAAGACCTGAACAGCACACGACTGGGCCCACGACATCCCGACCTCGGCGTGTGTTACGGTGGTTGCTCAAAAGGAAAACAATAGGACAACGATGGACAAAGAAACAACGACTCAAACAACGATGCAAGTTGTGTTGTGACGCAAAACCCTTTTTGAGGCGTCCAGCCATAAGCAGTCGAGATCTCTGGGCCTGAGATGAGAACTGTGTCATTGGTGTCAGAATTAAGACCTTCCTTTGTTTTGGGGGGGGTTCTAATAGCAAAGGTGATGGCCGATCTTAACGGATCTTAATTCTACAGCACGGAGATGGTACAGCCACGACTTCAAAATATAATTTCTTACACTTATTATACATGCCTTCTTTCGTTCGATAGACCTTCAAATCTCACAATCTTCACAAAATGCCTCGTGGAGCACTAGACCTCAAAAAGGTCAGAAGTCTCAATTCGCAGCTCAGGAGCACTGGATGAAACCGTTTCCATTCGGCAGAATTCTCGAAATGCTCCCTGCGAGGGTTACTCGGAGCCATGAGTGCTCGTGCTCGGAGCCATATTTTCGCGTTCAGCCTCAGCCTTTGCCTGGCTGGTGTGAAGCAACCGTGAACCCTGTGCCTCGGTTCTCCGGGAAGTGCGGTGGCTTTCCAGGAGGCAAGAAACCTCACGTCGACGTGGCAAAACGACACAGCAAACTCCCAACGAAGCGAGTAAACCTAACAAGCTTCTAGCTACTAGTAGTGATGCCCTGTGTTACTATAGTAGCTTCTTGTTACTAGTAGCGATGCCAGGAGCTACAGCGATGCCCTTGCCCCTAACAGCTTTTGAGTGTCTTCTTGAGATCTTGGCCAACTAGCTTGAAAATGTTCTCCGCCTACGCTTCGCGAAGAAGCAAAAGTTATGAAGTAAGTCGTCGAAGAAAAATAGAAAAAGCCAAAGCGACACAGTTTCCCTTCCTTCCGTTCGCGTCCTTTCTTTCTTTCCTTTCGTTCTTTCTCTCTTCCATCCCTGGGAACCTTTCTTCCATCCGAGCCCTTGAACCTTTCTCCCTGACTTGGTTCTACTTGTCTGACGTCCATTCTGCACCTGCGGTCCTTTAGCACCCATGTTGAATGTGAAGGCAACGAAGTCTCCGAGGGCAAAGGCCTCGCAGCTGCGCAGCTCTGAGTGTCTGCCGTTTCTGTTCCTTTTGTTCTCTTTTTGTCCGCCCTTACATAACTAAGTAGGTGCCTACTCTATTAAGTTATTGAGTAAGGGCGACGAATTAGTTAGCTTCTAGCAACTGGACGCAGGATAGCTCACGCTAATGATTTGGTTCCTAGATTTCGAGGGAAACTTTACCTTTAGACCTTTCCTTCAAAGAGATAAAAGAAAACACACAAGAGTTCCATCTCTATCTGCGCTTCTGCCTGGGGGCTCGCTATTGAGCAGTGTACATAAACATCCTGAGAGAGCCTGAGAGCTTTCCAGCCGCAACTGTTCTCCAAAGAGTCCAGACATATCCAAGAGCATGCTCATGCAAAGCTTTGCGCTTCTCCACTCAGACGACTTGCACGGCAAGTGGCCCAGTCTCAGGACACTGGATCATGCTAAAGTTTTTGGCCTGGGTGAACGAGCTCCAAATCACCAAAGGAAACCTGTTTCTGGACCAAGACACCTCAAGAAGCTGAGTCCAGAGCGTGATCGGCGATTTTGATCGTGCCGATATAAAATGCACTCGCCGGCCCTAAGTCCTCTGGAAGCTGCTCGAGCTGCTCGAGCTGCCCTGAAGTGGATCTTCAACAGTCAATTGTGCTGTCACTCTGCTTGAGTTCTTTCATCTCATGCACAAGAGATCAGCTGGCCATGCCGCCATTTCATCATGTGCCACAATGCATCACATGCTCCAATTCGAGGCTTCACTGGGCCAAAACCGTCTTGATAGGGAGAGTTTCTGTTGGACCAGGCCCATTGGGTATTTGTCGTCGGTGTTGTTTCTATCTTTTTCTGTATTTCGAACGATGCCCCAGCTTAGACCGCCGGATCTGAGTTCTGAGTTTCGGGCCTCCCTTACCTTTTCCTGGGAGCTAAAGCACAGGCAGTAAGTGGTAGCTAAGACAAATCCAAGATCCTGTAGTTGAAGACTGTCTTATAAGGGCTTATAAAGGGGTAGGCAAGTGCGAAGGCGGAGAGAAGTTCTAAGTGTGCGTTGCATTGTCACACGGTGCTTGAGGTCAGCACCATTCCAGCCATCCACACGTTGAGCCTGCAGAATGATAGCAAGTAGTAACAAGAAGCTTCTAGGAACAAGTGCCTCGCTAGTAGTAACAAGTGCCTTACTAGTAGTAACAAAGAAGCTTCAGGTTCCATCCTCTTTCTCGGCATGAACTGTTCGTCATCAAAGCAAGCACATGTGGCAAGTCGGGAAGCCTTCCTGCAGTGGCCTATCGGAATGCTTTAGCTGAACTCTTTTCGGCTCACGCGAAATTGGGCTCAGCTTGTCAGCGCAGCTGGGCTTACCATTCCTCAGCTACGACCCATGACGCGACCCATTCGGACGACGTTCAAACTGCTGCAGTCGGCCCTGGAAGTCGGCGCCGCAAAAAGGACTGTTTGGGCAGAAGAGAACGACTTTTTGATCCCCCTTCATTGTTGGGTTTGATGCTTTCACAGGCATTGTGTTTTACATCTATAAACTTTTGGCCTGATAAAATGTTGAGAAAGTGAATGCCAGACTGAGCCAAAAACATCCAAAACTATAAAATGGGCTACAGTAAGTGGATTATGGGCGTTCCACACTAAAAATTGCACAAAAAACAGCAGGCCGCCCATACAGTATTGGGTTCACCACTTTTAAAAAGGCTCTGTCTATAGAATGACCAGTGAGGGTCCCACTGCCAAAAAGGGTGAACAGAAAGGCACAAATTCAGAAACATCGCAGAACTTTGTCAAACACCGTCAGGGCTGCCCACTTAGAGGATAGGTCTCTAAAGGACTCAAGATCTCTCAGGTAAATTACCAGAAAGCCTGTGGGCTAATAATAGAACCAGGGGCGCAGGTGCAAGGGCCCTCTACAGCAGGCAACCACCAGGGGCATTTTATATACTACCATTGTGCCCGGTTCGCCATTCCTGTGTCCGTCATGTTGCATCCATAGTGTCCCCGGTCTCCTCTAGTATGGGATTCCACCAGAATCTTGTGGCAAGCGGGAACAAACTACAGAATATAACTGCAATAGAACTTAGCACTGAGCACGATATAACTTATGCAACTTTGTGATGCTCTTTGCGGCTAAGCTCCGTCTGCATGTAATCTTTAAGAAACCATCCATAAGGAGGACAATCACCATCACCACCTCCAGCCATGGCCCCACGCTTTGCACGGGGAAGAGGGTCATGACCTCCACCGCACAAGGGATGGCCTCCACCCTACTACTAGCGATGGCCTCCGACCTACTAGCGGTGGCCTCAAACCACCCTAGTAGCGATGGCCTTCACCCTAGTAGCAATGGCCTCCACCCTAGTAGACACCCTAATAGCAATGGCCTCCACCCTACTAGCGATGGCCTCCAACCTAGTAGCAATGGCCTCCACCCTAGCAGCGATGGCCTTCAACCTAAGAGCTATGGCCTCCACCCTACTGGCCTCCATCCACGTGCTTTCGCTGCGTTCTCAACACTTCGAGGCCAGTCAACACGGGGTCCACGATGCGCGCGGCCGCGTCGATCTCGTCGATGGGCGTCTGGAAGTTATGATCTTCGGCGATACGTTGAGCAGTAAAAAGTGGATTCTCATCATTGATCCAACCGGTGTCCACACTATTCATGTAAATACCGCTGACGGCGAGGTCCTCTGCACATGTGCGCGTCATCATGTTTAGAGCTGCCTCCAGGGAGCCAAGCAATCCAAAAAACATGACGCTTAACTAGTAGCCTCTTGTTACTAGTAGTATGCTACTAGTAGCGTCCTTGCTCCTAGTAGCGATGTCCTTTGTTCCTAGTGGCGTTCTGTTTTCTTCTCAAACATTCCTTATTTTTCAAGCGCTTGGATGCGGACCTTGGCCATGTTGGTATGTGGGTGGGTGGGCTGTTTGTATCTATAGAATTTCCCTTCCATCGCCGAGACATTCACAATGTATCGGTCTGGATGTGGCGACCTGTCCAGCAAAGGTCTCAACGCGCTGTTGATGATGAAAGGTGCCAACGTATTGATGCAAAAGACCTCGGCAGCCTCCGGTGTTTCAACCTCACCAAGCTTTAACAACCAACTATTGCGGCTGCGGCAGTCAATCTGTTGCCCATGCACATCGCGTTGCCCAAAAGGCATGGCAACCTCTTCGGTTTTCATGCGGTCCTCACTCAACACTGTCAACTGAGAAAGGGCCGCACTGGAAGAAGCATCACCATGTTGAGGAAAATCCGTCGCGTGTATCACATTTGTAACATGGGGAGTCAGCTGTGTTGAGTCGGCCATGGCGAGCTTGGGGGGCACCTTCACCTTCCATCAAGTGAGCATAGTATGCTGCAGGTCTACGGATGGTCTGGGCCGCATTGTTGACGATGACATCTAAATAAGTCTCCTGCAAGCAGAGTTCTCGGCACATCGCTTCCACTCCTCCCAAGAAACGAAAATCTGCGCCGATCACCGTGAGTCGGCTGACCCATGCACCCGAATCGGCTTCTCCCAAGTAGCGACGCCGGGCGTCGTGTGGGAAACGGCTCGTGATCAGCACACGTGCTCCCATCCGAAGAAACTTCAGGGCGACTTGAAAACCAATCTTCACGCGTGCACCTGTCACAAAACAAACACGACCAGTCATGTCTTCAGTGCGATGGCGCTTCTCAAAGTTTAAAGAAGCACAGGCCGGGCATAGGTGCGAATAGAAGTGATGTCGTTGAGAAAAGCGCACTTTGCAAATGTAACAAGCTTGTTGCCGATGATATTCGCTCTCAGCCCTCTCAGCATCCTCATAATTCGCTTTGTAACCTTCGTGGCCTTCGCTTTCTGCTGGGCCATCGGGAATTCGCAAGCATCCCTGGCCCTCGCCTTCAGCTTCCTCCAGCTGGTTAAGCTTTGCAAGTCTTGATGCTCGAAGCTCAGCATTCTCCTTCCAACGTTTATCCGCATCGAGTTGTCGTTGCTTCCTCTCTCTCTTCTGCTGCTTCTCAAACTTCTTGCGCTCCTTGTCATCGAGCTCATCCTGCTGCGGCAAATGTCCAAAGCTGTGGCGGAAGTGTCGTGCCAAGATCTTCCGCAGTGGTCTCAAGCACTTCTCCTTGGGCTCCAGGAGTCCTGCCTGCTCCGCCTCGTGCAAACGGGAGAGCACGGACACCACCGTCGAAAGCTCCTCACGACTGACACCCGCAGCGGTCAGTGCCGAAAAATCCACGGATTCACCCGGAGCGGTCGCCTCTTCCGCGGCCTCCTCTTCTCCCATGGCTTCCCGCTGGGAGACTGACACGGAGCTGATGCTAACTCATGAGAGCTTCTGACCCTGACAAAACAAACACCTTGGTCATCATTGTACAAAGTTGGGTCATCTGGTTCTCTTTGTTTGTTGCTGTATGTTGCTGTTGTTGCTGCTGGTCTTGAGTGGATCAGCTTAGGAGATCTTATGACGGAGAAAGCACCTGCTGGAGTCTAAGGACTCCAGGGACCACCAAAAGGACAAGTTTCAAGGAACAAAGAAGAAGGAATAGAAGCATAATAGCAATGCCCTTTGCTCCTAGTGGCGATGCCAGGAGCCCCTAGTAGCGTCCTTGCTCCCTAGCAGTAAGGCCAGGAGCCCCTAGTAGCGTTCTTTGCTCCGAATACACCGCGTAATTAGAATCAAAAGGTAAGAACATGTCCCAAATCGCACCACATTGGCACTCCTAGCCACCAGCCCGACATGTCCTCTCGCCTTCCACACTTCGCCCATGGGACGCTGCCAGGAACCTGGTCGTCTAGACTCCGTCGCAGGCGGCGTGAACCGCGTTCCGACGGGCGTCCGGCCACTTTGTCCTTTGGCGATGCTCTTTCCACCATTGGCTCCTGACCGATCACGAGTTCGCATCGACCACGGACGTCCGCGGTTATCCCACGCTCGGGGCTCATCGGCCTGCTTGGTGACCATAAGCACCAGCCTGACGTCGTACGTGGCCGGGGGGGACTAAGAGCGGCTGCGACAAATATTGATGGCGTTCCTGTTCTTTCTTTTCGTTCTTTGGAAGGTCGAAGCCGTTCAAAAAGGTAAACGTTCCCGTTCTGTTTGGAGTCCGCACCTGCCAAACTCTGGGCCGCTTTAGGCCTTGTCTTCGCTTCCAACCTCGATGCACCACCCGCGTCACACGACGTCGCCACCGACACGGTCGCCCGGTCGCCACCAAGGCATCGACATGGGGCAGAGACCTGGGGTCGCCCTGCACCGCTCACGTGCACGTTGAAGCAGATCCTGGGTGGGCCAATCGCAGCTTCGAAAGGTCCGAAAAGGCATGGTCCACGCGATGGCCACCACCCGTTACTAGCGATGGCCTCCACCCTAAGCTTCGGGCTCTTCGCCCACTTGCAAGGAGCATTGCTCTACAACCTCAGTCGGTTCAGGTTCCACATCATGACCCATGACCCGAGCTTTGAGCATTTCAGGGACGAACAGTGCTATGAACATAAGCATCTTGATCGTAGAGGTCCTGAAAGAACATACAAAAAGCAGGTTGCACAAAACGCTTGTTAACGGCCTGAAGGAACATACAAAACGCTGCGCCTTGACCTCCTGACATGTGATGAACGCACAGCCATTGGGCAGGATTTTGTGGACCTGAATGGGGCAGGACACCGGACCGTTCGACACGGTCGTGTCGACTCTCCAGACCTTTCCTATTTTCATACGCAGCTAGGAGTAAGGACGCTATGAGGCGGAGGCCATCGCAAGTAGGTGGGAGGCCATCGCTACGAACGTAACTAATAGCTACTAGGAGCGCTTTGATTACGTCTATTACATGTACATCCGTCTCTCTCCTTTTCTCCCTCTCGGTCTCGCCTGCCCCTGAAACTCCCCAAAGCCAGGATCCTGGCACGTGAGACGTGAGTCTCTACTTGCCGTTCATGATGTCGAATTTTCTTCTGCAACCCCCAAAAACCCGCGTAGAATAGCGTAGAGTAGAGCCATCAAAAGCCCGTTTCAATGATCATGATCTACTTATTCGTCTTCAAAAGCCACCGTTTCGGCCTTGTTCTTCGGGCAGAAGCCCACCATCACCCAATTTGGATCCTTCCAGGTGAGAAACGGTCTGCGTCGACCGTAGACTTCGTTCGACGTCGGCCTGTCATGGCCTTTAGACCTTTTCATGACACCTGTGTTTCTTTCCCTTTCTTTCTGGTTATATCTCTTTAGGGGCTTTCGACCTTTCGCATCTAGGCTGACTCACGCTCTCTTTCTCTCTTTCTGTCTCAATACGAGTTCGCACCACCGAGGCATCCACTTCGTTCATGGCGATCGTGGCTTGCTCGGCTCGTTAACTATCTGGCATCCTCTAGCATGGTCATCCCTTCTGAGCCGAGCTGGCATCAATCGACAGGAGCCACCTGTCGAAACCTTCCCCACACGTATGCCATATAGGCGTCAATCTTCAGTAACTCTGCCGACATATACCATACACTCCTATGACATATACCATGCATGACATATACAGCACATCAAAGATCATCAAAGATCACACTCCTAAGTTTTGTTGACCTCTTTTTCCTGATGGTCGTGCGGTTGTGCTGTGTCCATGGCCGCCTGCCGTTCCCAAGAAATCACAGCTATATAGATCCTACGACCCGCTGCCGCCTTCTGCCTAAGACTCAAACTTCTCTCAGAAGCAGTATGAAGCAGTGCATGGATCGCATGGACTATCGGATATACACCTGACTCTCTAGCATTGCCTGTGACCTGCTCGAAGTGGCCGCCTGGCCAATAGGAACCTTAGCTGAAGAAAGTGTTCCTCCTCCGCTTGGCCAGGCCACTTGTTTTTGCACTTCCGGGAAGCGGCACTTTGTTGAACCAAAACTGATGCCTCGTCTGGAAATCCATTCCCAATAAAGACTCCAATTCGGCCAGCAGAACGTCCACTGCCAAGAAGGTAAGCAGATTTGTATACACTTCATACTACACACACAAACCGGTTCAGAAGAGTTCTTGATTAAAATTCCTGACGAATCGTTTGCAAGTGGAAGCTCCAAACCTACTTTTAAGAGCACTCTTGCCCTCAACAGATCCACCTACTGAGTCTCAACATCTCTCAGCAGCTTGACTAGCATCATTTTGAGGGAAACACTCTAAACTAAACCAGCGATAGAAGAAGCACTCCGCTCTACCGTCTCTACCTCGAAAAAGCCAAGCCCAAAAAGACGCCAAGCACGCCAAGTTGCACGTTCAGAGGATGAGTGTCCGAGTCTTGCAGCAAATCCTCTCAGTCTTGAAAACGCTGTACGTTGGTCAACGCTGTCGAAAATGCCAGTTATGAGTAATCGATAGTAATCGTAGTGACCTCCAAGACAGATTCAATGCTCCATCTGGCTTCGCACATCAAGAATGTTGGATACTGGATCATTCATGCTCACAAAACCCAGAACAAAGTATACATGTTCACAGCATTGACCATTGCTTCGCCTCCGTTCGCCAGTAGGATGACTTCATGCCAATCAAATCCTGCAGCTTCGACACGCTTCGCTTCGCTCCACCGGTGCTACACTCGATGCTTTCCGGTCCCCAGCGGCTGCTGCTGCATCACCAGGAGCAAACTCCATCAACACCTACTTTCAAAGAACAAAGCAGAAGCTTGCGGCAAATGATGTTCAAGGGCCCATCAAAAGTAAAGTCCTAGAAGAAACTATATACTGTATACGTAAGAGCTGCCAAATCAATTAAATGAATCTTTGCGACTTGTGGTGACAAATTCATAGATTCTGCGAAAAGCGGACTGGACAGTTGGAGTGTTGGGTCGTCGTGGTCGTGGTCGTTCGTTCTTTTGCTCGTGAGGGGCGATGCCGACGAGCCTCCAAGCCCGCAGCCTCCGCGACGTTCCTCAAACCATGTGGCCTCAGATTTCCGGCGAAACCCATCGACCTTGTCTCAGCTCGTCTCGTCTTCCGCTCGTCACTGATCTGATCGACACATCAAGGTCCGGGCGTGTAGCAGAAAAAGTCGTCTGGGCAACCGTGAACACCTGAACAGCCAACCATCTGATAGTCGACCAAAGAGACGTTACCAAGGAGAAAAAAACACAGGCGATGGTCTCCAACCTACTAGCAAGACTTGGGTAATGTCTCCTCTTTTTTTCCAATATGCAAAGATGTGCAAATAATAGACTTCAAGACCCATCTTTGAAAACTAGTCCGATTCCAATATATTCCAATATACTACTCACATGTGATATTCATTGGGCTCCGGCCATCGATGAAAGGAGCTCCGAGCAAAAGGAACCCTCCTTCCGGCTCGAACAAAAACAAGCAGCAACACCTAGATGCAAATATTGAGGCTTTTTGGACCAAGAGCGGCTCAAGCAACAAACCGCCTGCGTGTTTCGCCCTAAGCCCAGCCTGGTATCAACAAACGGGTGATGCCTCTCATGGCCCGGTGTGGCTCCTGGCAAACAGCAAAGCTCTGAAGGCACGAAGGCTGGCTCCGGCTCCGGGGTTCAGGTTTTAGTAGTGATAGCTGCTTGTTACTACTAGTAACAATTGCCACGCTAGTAGTAACAGGTGCCTTACTAGTAGTAACAAAGAAGCTATTAGAATTAATTTAAAGTAATTTTAATAGTTTCTTGTTACTACTAGTAAGGCACTTGTTACTAGAAGCGTGGCACTTGTTACTACTAGCTTCTTGTTACTACTAGTAAGGCACCTGTTACTAGTAGCGATGCACTTGTTTCTAATAGCTTCTTGAAGGCTGATCAGCACATTTTTCCACTAGACCGTTCTGTTGTTCTATGTGTTCTTCTCTCCAGGAAAAAAGGAAAGATCGACATGTACAAATCTGGAAGGAATAAGAGCCCAAATTGATCCGAAATTCCACACTCAAAACAGCGACCCCCGAGAGAGAACATGCGCGCATTGGCGGCAAGCATCCGTTCCCGAGGTTTTCTTGAGCCCTTTAATCCGCTTTGCTGAGGCCGCTCCGGAACATGCTCCAAGACGAAAAAGCAAACCACCTCAGCCACTTGCTGCTTTTGCGCATCGCTTCTCGGTTGGCAGGTTGGAGGCCATGGCTGGAGGCCATGGGTGATGCGTGATTTTCCGAGGCCTGGACCAATCCATAGTCATTCGGCATCCAAGTCGGTGGGTGAAGTACATCAAGTGCCAAGACCCTGCGTCCGTCCGCGCGACGTAAACGGAAGCCCTGAAAACGGAAGTAGGCCGGGTAGGCTACTTGGCCTGTTGGAGGCCCAGTCAGCTTCCGGAGGACCCATCTTTGAC